ACTGTACTTAAGAAGTATTTGTATTTCATGAATTATATTATTAGATTTGGCCGCAGCCCTCAGATAGATTTTTATTTTGTAGAAAAGCTTTGTGCAGCCTTGACATATGTATATAAATTGAAACAGCTGGACTAGTGCATCCTAAATTTAACATACATTCATTATTTTAATACAATAGTCATTTCTGCAGTTTTTGGGGAGGTCACCTCCTAATAAATGTCATTACAGAAAATCTAAGTGCTCATTTTAAATCAGTACTTTTAAGTGTCACTTTGTGGTACTTTATACAACACTACTATAACCAAACTATCTCTTAACCCACTGGCAGATATTAGTGAAACACTCAGAACGTAAATAGTGCTGGTACCTCTACAACTCATCAACATTTGAAATCAACCAAAATCAAGATGGCCACCATGACTTATCAACTTTAACCATTTATTGGGCTAAATTTGGCGTGGTACAAGCTGAGGGTCATCCTCATAATAAAATCTCAGGGCTAGTATTAAATGAGACTAAAACTGCTTTTACTTCTCAGCATAAGATAATTTTAGTTTTAAAGACTTAATAATTAAAACTTGCACGTGTCCACATTCTTACCATTGCCTTTTTTTTCATCTTCATGTCCTCAGGTGGAATCCAATCCCTTCCCCTTTAATTACGTGTCCAACTACGCTGTCTCTACTGAAGTAGCATCCATGGAGTTTCACACAGAAAACGGCACCCACATCCCCATCTCTGAACTGGATGACAGCATGGCCATCACTGTTACTGTGAACAACGGCAGCAGCAGAGAAGCAGGTGCTGAGAGTTCTGGCATCGGCGGAGCCCCCGTAGCCGCCTCGGTTAACGTCAGCCGCTGTGACTCTGTGATCATCAGGGTCAGCGCAGGAAACAGCAACAAGCAGGCCGGGCTGTTTGTGTTGCTTAACTTCACTGCTATAGAAGGCAAGCACATGCAGAACAACTTCAACATGTTCATCTTTTTTTGTTTTGTTACAAGACGTTTTCTGTTAGAGTTGATGTTAGTTTAAAATACAACAGTAGTCTTCTTTCCCCGTTTAATACTTGAATGTTTTTATTGACAGAGCTGTCCCTGTGTGTTCAGGCTGTTTTAAAGCAGCACTTTCAGCTGTAGATCAATAAAACCCATTACATGCTGCTTTCTTTGTACCACAGGTGCTATATACCCCTCCCCTTTCAATACTAGTAATAAAGTCAGTGACAATTTTGAGCAGGTCTACTGTTTTGTAACAGCTATAAATGTTAGAAATTAATTTTAAATTTCATATTCATTATAGATGATTGAGCTCTATTTTTAACGTATAAAATAGCCTGGATTGGGTATTTAGTAGCACTTGAAAAATTGCTTCATTCTTGTCCTAATTGACTTTGGAACTTACATTTGTATTTTTGTGTTCCTCCTTGCGCTGAATATTTCTGTTCATGTTCATTTTCTATTTTTTTAGCAGACGCGAATGGCGAGGAGAAAAGAGAAAATCTGGAGGAAGAGCCATATGTAACCGCCTACCTTCATTCTAACGATCAACCCAATGAGTTTAACTGCACAGACAGAAAGCAGATCACTCTCAGTATGACCAGAGGGCAAGACCACAAAAAATACAGCTTCTTCCTGTCACCAGAGTAAGAACCCTGTTAATTCACTGAACTGCTAAATAATTTCATATTGAGATGTTATACAGCTTTTGTTTGATAACGTTGATCTTTTATATGCATTTTCTTTCTTTTCCCAGTAAGAAATCAGAACAAAATATATCAATTATTTTTATTTTATTTTTATTTGTATAGTGCCAATACACAACATAAGTCACATGTGCCAAACAAAAAAGTTTTTTTTCCTCAATTTAATGTAAAAATAGATTTTATATCAATTCTAAACTTTATATTTACGATTCAATGCAACAAAATAAACAAATTTAAATGTGAAAGATAACACTCTGGCCTTTTAGCTGTTGACTTTGAGTTGAAAAGCCAGCATTGACCATAAACTACATTTCCCATAATGCACATTGATTTGATTCAATCTGCAAAATGACAGCACCCACCACTAGGTGGAGGTATACAGGATTCATAAAATGGTTGACATAGAAAACCTATAAGCGACATGCACTGACAAGTGTTCCTTAGACGGAATATAAGGCTGTGTCCAAAACGACAGGCCGGGTCCTCCGGAGGACCCAGACTACCCGGTCGCGGCGGGCCGGGTCCTTGGTAGACCGGGAAGACCGGAAAAAAAGAGGCTGTGAATTTGGACGGTCTAGCCTCCCCTCCTTACTCCAGCGTATGTCATGTCACCTAGCAACTGTGACGACGCTAAACAAGCAAACTTAAATCAAAATTAGAAAAATATCAATACATTAGCATTATTAATATCACAAAACTATAAAATTAACTTAAAGGGATCATTTGAAGAACTAATTGACCCGCTGTAGGTTCATGTTTATTTCGCGTTTTTTATGACGAAAAATAATATTTAAAAACATGGCTGTGTCCAAAACGGCAGGACGGGTCCTCCGAAGGTCGAATTTGTCGGCCGCATCGGAGGAGTCTTCG